ACTTAGCCTAAATCTCACTTTTACGGTTTTCCTATAACTGTACACGCTTCTGTTTTCTAGTCACTGTGCGCAACCCACTTGTTATAAAATTCTCATCTTTTAGTATGTTAATATAGACTCAATGAAATTTCCAACAAGTTTTTACATGCCTCATTTGGAGTTTTCTAGCTCCAATTATCACCGTTTGAAGTTGGACAAGCAAAGTTGTCCGCCAACTCCGAACCAAGCCATAAACATCCCTTACCATTTCTGCCATTCTGGAAAATCTACTAAATCAATTGCTCTCAAATTTTTATGCACACACCTTTAGCTTTTATTCGACATATTATGAGCCTAATTTGAGTAATAACTGAGGGAGAAACAATTCATGGAAGTTACAGCCATGTTCAACCCCTGCACATGGCCTCCCAGGGCAGTCTCCATTCAATTGAACCTACAGAATGCTATACATCTTCAAATGGTACCACATTTTTACCCCACATAGCTAACATCTCAAGCTTCAAAATGATATAAGGCACATTCCTATAAGACCTCTGTAGAGGGAGATAAGCTCTCCCCAAGTTAACCAAAAATCTGGTCATTTAACCCTAAGTGTGTTTAATTAACAAACCTTAATTACCTTTGGTTAGCAACTCTAAATCACTTTAATTCTTGGATTTTTCTATTATTAGGTCACATTATGAAATCCCACTTAGTCACATTATGTCATGATACCTCAAGTTCACTAATTGCTTGATTAATGCACCTAAACCCTAATTAAGTTCAATTTTAGGGTTTAATATTTAATTAGTGTATTATGCATAGTCCACCTTACTTAACCACTAGATTAATGCCCTAATTAGGTCTTAATATAAATTTAAAAATAGTGACCCTAATTTAAACCTACATGGTCGATTTGCTTAGGTGTTTAAATTAGGATTTTTAGGCTTATTTCTTAGTCTTTTCTTTAGTTAATTAGTACCTACACTTAATTAATCTACTAATCCATGTTTCCCTTATTTTTAACACAAGTAATCCACATTATATCAAATGGGGCAGGTTTGATTAATTATATTTATTAGGGTTTTTAGCCATCCTTAATCAAGATTAGTAGGTTTCACTTAGAGATAACTCACTTAATTAATCTTTCTTAGTTTCACTTAGGATTGCTCCACCCTTAACAACCTTTTAACAATTTTTAGTCAACAAACCCTAGCTCATCATGAGATGGTTGAACCATCATGTGCCTCCTTTAGGGTTCAAGTTCATTCTTTTCCATGAAATCCACTCAAGGATCCAAAGGTTGCACCTTTTCTCATCAAACCAACCATTTCATGGTTCAAAACTCACACACCCTCAAGAACAATAATCAAAACCATTACATTACAAATTTTTCAACAATATTCTCCCCACCCACATGAAAAACCGTGATATTCAAAGTGAGGAGGAAGGGCTTTTTGGGTCATATTTTCCCAAAGTGAGGCTTACATCTTCATGCTCACACCTTTAGCTTCAAGCTTCACCTTTTCCCACCAAGAAGTCTCCTTTAAACAAGAACATACCTTCAAAAATATGCTCAAGAGTTAGAGCTCATGAACATAAGAGAAAAAGATGAGATTTTCCAAGAAAGTTTAAGAACACTTACACTAGAACTCAAGAGAACCAAGCAAGGATGTGTTGTTCTTCAAGAGAACTCAAGAGCACAACTCCATGGTCCATGAACTCACAAAAACCATGGCTGTATGGTGGTGTGAGGAACTCGAAAATTTGATCCACACCATGAAAATGGTATGTTGTTTAGAGGATAGTGGGGGGAACAAGTTTGGTGAAGGAGATTTGGTGATTTGGAGAGGTTTTTGATAACTCTCCAAAAGAGAGTTATTTTTGGGCTTAATTGTGATATTTTGGTACCATGATTGCATATAATTCTCTTGATTTTATATGATTAATGCATGAATTCTATGATTTCATGATTTAATTGAGAATTATGTTAATTATGTGTATTTGGATATAAATGAGCATTGGAAACATTTAAATACACTTATTATTTTACTACAGGTCAATGCTGTAGCATCAGAAAGCAGTATTGTAGTAGTGCAGATGAGGTCAGCAATGCATCATCACCAGCAAGATATGGATCCAAGCCCAATTAGTTAGAAGAAGTTTCTGAACGTGTAATCAGAGTCTTGAGCTGGCTACGCGCTTTAAAACATTCAAAGGATCACCATTAAAGCTTCATTAAATCAGCGATTACATTTCCAAATTCAGACCTGAAACACGAAATGGAAAGAATCTGATGAGATATGCTGCAGCATTATGCGCTGTCCCTGATCAGCGCTGTAGCAAATAAGGAAAGAATCTTCAATCAAGTGCTGCAGCAAAACACAGCTGTATCTTCAATCATAGCTGCAGCAAATAAGGAAAGAATGCTTTGTCAGCATTATAGCAAAACAGAGTGTCATCCTTATCCATTCACACGACAGATTTGAATGAAGATTTTCATGGACCTGAAGAGCTGTTTGAGGCCCAGAATATCAAGTATATAAAGGAACGAACCCATGCCCACAGAAAAGAGGCAAGGAACGCTCCACATGCTTTAGACATTCAATCAGATCCTAGAGAGAGAAAGTGGGGGAAACACATAGAGAGAATTTGAGGGTTCGTTGAGAGAGATCCAAGGAATCAAAGGGTGAGGCTAGGGTTTGGTAGAGAGATCATCAAATCCGATAGATCCCTGCACTATTCCGGCGGCTGAAGCAAGGTTGATGGTGGTGGAGCCTACGGTAGCTGCGGGAGCAGTGCTACAGCAACGTCCCTGTTTTCTTTACTTTAGTTTAATGGAATCTTATTCTTTCTTTGTTGTTTCTTCCCACCCAAGTATGGGCTAAATTGTTATGATTGGGTGATAGAGTACCCTTATTGTGATGTAATCAGTTTGCCTAAACTTTGCTATATAATTGTCCTTTTAGTTGTTTGATAAAGTGCTTATTTTTATTCTTGTTGACTTATCGAGAGAGAGCTGCAAGATAATTAGGGTTTGGGCTATAGAGATATAGGTGAACTCAGAAAGTTATTAAGCATTGTGGTTTAACTAATTTAATTAGTTAATTGTAGGTAGAGAGATCATTCACACCACAAAATCAAATGGAACTTGCGCTCAATGATTCATAACTATGTTGGCTATAGAGATGTGCGACTTAGTATACATGTAGAGTTGGTGAGAGCCCTTGCATGCATTAGTGTTTTGGTTACTGAATGGACAATTGCTGTAGCATGGTTACTGCATTCTAGTGAAGTTGCAATAATGGGGAAATTGATCCCAATCTATCTTTAATACTTGGAAAACCTATTTTATTACTGCATTCTCTTAGTTAATCATTAGTCTTAGTTATTTTATTTCTTAATTGTTAAATTAGTCATTAGTTTATCACAAATCAATATTGTTACCTTAATTGCTTCACATTGATCCCAACTTTATAGTTTTCTTCGTGGGAACGATATCTGGACTCACACATCCACTTTATTACTTGTTGACACGTGCACTTGCGTAATGTGTGATTGATAAAAGGGGTACACAACGGCGCGAAAAACTTGTTGTGCAATTGTGTACCCCTTTTATCAATCACACATTACGCAAGTGCACGTGTCAACAAGTAATAAAGTGGATGTGTGAGTCCAGATATCGTTCCCACGAAGAAAACTATAAAGTTGGGATCAATGTGATGCAATTAAGGTAACAATATTAATTTGTGATAAGCTAATGACTAATTTAACAATTAAGAAATAAAATAACTAAGACTAATGATTAACTAAGAGAATGGAGTAATAAAATTGGTTTTCCAAGTATTAAAGATAGATTGGGATCAATTTCTCCATTATTGCAACTTCACCAGAATGCAGTAACCATGCTACAACAATTGTCCATTCAGTAACCAAAACACTAATGCATGCAAGGGCTCTCACCAACTCTACATGTATACTAAGTCCCACTTCTCTATGGCCAACATAGTTAGGAATCATTAAGTGCAAGTTCCATTTGATTTTGTGGTGTGAATGATCTCTCTACCCATAATTAACTAATTAAATTAGTTAAACCACAATGCTTAATAACTTTCTGAGTTCACCTATATCTCTATAGCCCAAACCCTAATTATCTTGCAGCTCTCTCTCGATAAGTCAACAAGAATAAAAATAAGCACTTTATTAAACAACTAAAAGGACAATTATATAGCAAAGTTTAGGCAAACTGATTACATCACGATAAGGGTACTCTATCACCCAATCATAACAATTTAGCCCATACTTGGGTGGGAAGAAACAACAAAGAAAGAATAAGATTCCATTAAACTAAAGTAAAGAAAACAGGGACGTTGCTGTAGCACTGCTCCCGCAGCTACCATACGCTCCACCACCATCAACCTTGCTTCAGCCGCCGGAATAGTGCAGGGATCCATCGGATTTGATGATCTCTCTACCAAACCCTAGCCTCACCCTTTGATTCCTTGGATCTCTCAACGAACCCTAAAATTCTCTCTATGTGTTTCCCCCACTTTCTCTCTCTAGGATCTGATTGAATGTCTAAAGCATGTGGAGCGTTCCTTGCCTCTTTTCTGTGGGCATGGGTTCGTTCCTTTATATACTTGATATTCTGGGCCTCAAACAGCTCTTCAGGTCCATGTAAATCCTCATTCAAATCTGTCGTGTGAGTGGATAAGGATGACACTCTGTTTTGCTGTAATGCTGACAAAGCATTCTTTCCTTATTTGCTGCAACTATGATTGAAGATACAACTGTGTTTTGTTGCAGCACTTGATTGAAGATTCTTTCCTTATTTGCTGCAGCGCTGATTAGGGACAGCGCATAATGCTGCAACATATCTCATCAGATTCTTTCCATTTCGTGTTTCAGGTCTGAATTTGGAAATGTAATCACTGATTTAATGAAGCTTTAATGGTGATCCTTTGAATGTTTTAAAGCGCGTAGCCAGCTCAGGACTTTGATTACACGTTCAGAAACTTCTTCTAACTAATTGGGCTTGGATCCATAGCTTGCTGGTGATGATGCATTGCTGAACTCATCTGCACTGCTACAGCACTGCTTTTCGATGCTACAACATTGACCTGCAGTAAAATAACAAGTGTATTTAAATGTTTCCAATGCTCATTTATATCCAAATACACATAATTAACATAATTCTCAATTAAATCATGAAATCATAGAATTCATGCATTAATAATATAAAATCAAGAGAATTATATGCAATCATGGTACCAAAATATCACAATTAAGCCCAAAAATAACTCTCTTTTGGAGAGTTATCAGTTTTGGAGGTGGAATCTTAGATAGAAGTGAGAGCAAAGTTTGAAGTTTGAATTTTAGAGAGAGAAGTGAGAAGGGGGCTGCTGATTCACAATGAGGGGGAAGGGGAAGGGTGCCCTAATTAGGGGTGCCATGTCACTTTAGTGGCATTTGTCCTTTAGTGAGACCCAATGTAATTTTTATCTGAACCATCGTCAAATTTTTACCCGGAAACTCCCAAGACTCTAACTTTAAGTACTTAACATTAATTTTGTCTAATTATCATGTTCATAACTTAAAAATTTGATTAGTCGATCACAGAGCCACTAACAGTTGTTTAATTGCACTATAGTCTTTACTGGTGTTCTTAACTGTACCCGGATTTCATAATCTTCTTAAATTTAAAATTATTGGCCTAATTATGACTTATTAGGCATATATTGGTCTTTCTTTTCATTTTCTCATCTTTTTCCCATTCCGGGATTCTACCGGCTGCTTCTACAGCAGTACAAAATACCCGACAGAAGTGACTTTTTCAAAATACCCTAATATGGGTATCAAACTTCATCAAATCATATACTAACCTCATCTATGATAATCTTATCATCAAAATATCTCTCTAACTCTAATTTTCTAACTTGGAGCTATTCTACTGACTGTTACTGCGTCAACAGTCAAAAACAACAGTTGAAACTCAACTGTTCAGAATACCCCAATATGGGTATCAAACTTCATCAAATCTTATGCTTACATCATTTATGGTATTCATATCATTAGGATATCTCTCTAACTTAAATTCACTGCACTGGACCTATTCTACAGTCTATTACTGCGCCAGCAGTCAAAAACAGCAGATAAAAATTCACCCGACTGGAATACCCTCAATATGGGTATCCAAATTCTTATAATTTCATTCTCATTCTATTTATGACCATAAGGTCCTCATCATACCCTCTAATTTAAAAATCATGTCATTAGGGTTATTATATTCACTACACCTTTTAAAAAGATTTTGTCATCAAAATCGGATCATACCTGATATCAAAATCGAGATATCGTCGGAGAATATCATCCTCTCTCTCCCATGTGGCGTCTTCAGGTGTCAATCCTTCCCATTGAATCTTGATCATGGGAATGACTCTATTTCTAAGCTGCTTATCATCTCGAGCTAGAACCTTTGAAAGTCCAACAACGAACTTCAGGTCCTTCTTAACCTCTACATCATCAGGCCGGACAATGTGTGAATCATCATATTTATATCAGCGAAATTGACTCACTTAGAAGACGTCATGTAGATTCGCCAAGTTGGGAGGTAGAGCAAGTTGATACGCCACCGGTCCGACCCTCTTTATTATCTGGTAGGGCCCAATGAACCGTGGACTCAACTTTCTCACTCCCAAAGGCATGCCCAACACCTGTGGTTGGTGACAATCTGATAAACATATGATCCCCTTCTGAGAATTCCATGGGTCGATGCTTCCTATCATAATAGCTTTTTTGATGGCTTAGAGCTTTCTTCAGCCGATCTCTGATCATCTCTATCTGCTTTGTAGTCTCTTGGACCAATTTCGATCCCAATAACTGTTTTTCCCCAACCTTATTCCAACATGTAAGTGTCCTACACCTACGGCCATACAAGGCCTCATAAAGAGCAATGCCCAAACTGGCATGATAATTGTTGATGTAGAAGAACTCAACCAATGAAAGTTACTTGTCCCAAGCATTTCCCTGCTCTAGTGCACATGCTCTTAATATATCCTCCAATGTCTGAATGGTTCTCTCCGTCTGACGATCCTTGTGCGGGTGATATGTTGTACTCAATCTCAATTGAGTACCTAAAGCATCATGCAATGCTCCCCAAAAGCGGGAAGTAAACTTCGGGTCCCGATCACTAATGATACTCTCAGGAACGCAATGAAGCTTCACAATTTCTCTAACATATAATCTAGCTAGCTGCTCTGTGGAGAAAGTCGTCTTGACTGGAAGAAAGTAGGCAGACTTAGTCAATCTGTCTACCGCAAACCAAATAGAATCAAATTCAGCTTGGCTTCTCGGTAATCCAACTACAAAGTCCTTGGATATACTAGCCCATTTCCACTCAGGAATCTCTAATGCCTGTAATAAAACCTGAAGGCTTCTGATGCTCAATTTTTACCTTCTGACAAATAAGGAACTTATTCATAAACTGAGCTACGTCTTTCTTCATCTCAGACAACCAAAATTCCGCTTCAAATCTTGATACATCTTGGTGGCACCTGGATGGATGGTGTACTTGCCCATATGGGCCTCAGTCAACACTTCTTCTACCATTGGCCCCTTCGGAACTACCAACCATTCCTTGTAATACTTTACATTAGCAGTATCTGTGAATTGCAAACTCTTGCTCTTTCATCCCTTGAATTCCTTCATCAAGCAATTAGGCTGCTTTAACTCTTTCCACAAGTGAATTTAGGACTTCAACTGTAGTCATAAAATATGAAGTCTCAAGTGGTGTCACGGGAATTCTCAAATCCCTGAACTTCTCAATCAATTCATACTCTGCAATCATCATGCTAGCCACGCTCGTAGTCTTCCTGCTCAAGGTATCAGCCACCACATTGGCCTTTCCAGGGTGATACTGAAGGTCAAACTCATAATCCTTCAGAAATTCCATCCATCTCCTTTGCCTCATATTAAGCTCTTTTTGATCGAACAAGTACTTCAAGCTTTTGCGGTCACTATAAACTGTGAAAGTAGCACCATACAAGAAATGTCGCTATATCTTCAAGGAAAAAACCACAGCCACTAACTCAAGATCATGAGTAGGGTAGTTCTCTTCATGGGGTCTCAACTGTCTAGAAGCATAGATCACTACCTTTCGCTCCTGCATCAACATGAACCCTAATCTATACTTGGATGCATCACAATAGATCTCAAATCTCTCTTCCGGGTCAGGAAGAATCAAAACTGGTGCGGTAATCAACTTATCCTTCAATTCTTGAAAGCTCACATCACACCCAAGGGTTCATGCAAATGGCACCCCCTTTCGGGTTAATCTAGTCAATGGCAAGGCAATTATTGAGAATCCATTAATAAACCGTCTGTAGTATCCTGCTAAACCCAGAAAACTCCGGACTTTAGTAAAATTCTTGGGTCTCTCCCAATCCAACACCGCTTATATTTTACTCGAATCAACAGCCACTCCTGCGGATGAAATAACGTGACCAAGAAACTGAATCTCATTCAACCAGAACTACACTTGGATGTTTTGGCATATAACTGATGCTCCCTCAAAATTTGCATGACTATCCTCAAATGCTCTGCCTTCTCTTCTCTACTCTTGGAATAGATTAGAATATCATCAATAAATACCGCTACAAATTGATCTAGTTGTGGTTTGAAGATTCGATTCATATAACTAATGAATACGGCCGAGGCATTTGTAAGCCCAAATGGAATCACCAGATACTCATAGTGTCCAAATATAGATCGGAAAGTCGTCTTCAGAATATCTTCTGCTTTTACCCGGATCTGATGATATCCGGAACGAAGATCAATCTTCGAAAATACCGAAGCGCCACTAAGTTGATCCAACAAATCATCAATGCGAGGTAGAGGATACTTGTTCTTCACAGTCATCTTGTTCAATTGCCGGTAATTCGTGCACAACCTCATGGTTCCATCATTATTCTTCACAAAGATAACTGGTGCTCCTCAAGGAGACACACTCGGTCTAATGAAATTCTTGTTGGATAAATCTTCGATTTGCTTCTTCAACTCTACAAGTTCCACTGGTGCCATCTGGTATGGAGCCAAAGAGATAGGCCCCACACTAGGCACTACGTCAATAGAGAATTCAATCTCCCTTTCTGGTGGAAACCGTGGGATTTCTTCTGCAAATATATCCTCAAAGTCACATACAATCGGGATACTATAAGTTGGCTCCTTAGAAACACCAACCAATCATCCTAACATGATATATCCCGCATTTAGAGCCTTAATCATCTGCAACACTGATAAATATGGGGAGTCCTTCTTCTCATTCTTTGCAGAGAAATAAATCTTCCTGCTACAATAATCAATCATAACTCCATGTTTGACTAACCAATCCATGCCCAGAATGATGTGCAAATTTATACCCTCAAGCACAATCAGATCAACCACATATTCCTTCTCTTCATAGTTGAACTTGACTTTCTTTCACATCAAAGAAGTGGAAACCAAGTCTCCGGTGACAGTCTTCACTACCATAGGAGGCATAAATACATATATAGACAAGTTCAAACCATTCGCAAACAAAACCCGAAATAAAGGAGTGGGAGGCTCTCGAGTCAAACAATGCATCAAAATCATGGCCATCAATGGAAATGGTACCTTTGATCAAATTTCAAGACTTCTCTGTGTCCTGCTGGGTAACTGCATAAACTCGTGTAACTAAAGGTACTGGATGCTCCTGAATAGTAGTGGAAGTCAGAATAGCCTGCATCGGAACAGCCTGAATAGCCGCAACCTATCCCCTTTTCCTCGGGCACTCTTTAGCAAAATGTCCTACTTAACCACAATTGTAGCATACATTCTGCCCAATCCGGCAAACACTGTAATGAGGCCTCCTACAGTTAGCACAAGTAAGAGTCTTCCCATTCCCAGCTCTTGCATTCCCATTATTAAAATTTCCATTCCTCTTAAACTTGTTTCCATTCTACTTTACCTGCACACCCTTGTTCTTCCCGTTCTAGGGAGTAGTTTTCCCATAGAGACTCTTGCCTGCAGTATCCTTGCCTCGAATCCTATAATACTCCTATATGTCCTGCTGTGGTGGTGGAGGTAGTGGAGGAGGTGGTGGTCCTCCTCGAACCTCATCCAATAATAGTTTCATCATCTCCACATTCGCCAATCTGTTCTGAGCTATGAGATCCTCACTGGTCTTCCTCATGTACTCCATGTCTCTCTCTGGCCTCAGCCAAACTCTGTAGATCAGCTTCCCTAGCAGTAATCAAGGTCTGCTAAAGAGCTGCTAGAGCAGCTGCTACAGGATTCGGTGATGGATCCTCAACTACACGATGGGTCCTCCTTTGAGGTACGATGTTAATTGCACACAACTACACAAGGAATGAGTTAGCTACGCTTATACCAGTGATGACATATGCATTATCAAAGCACTCAAAGAAACACTCTATAGGTAGTTAACACTTAAGCAATAAATCAGTGAACGTCTCGGTGAAACTGCTCTGATACCATAAATATAATACCTCGTGGTACTCTGGTTGTTAACATCATGATATTGTAGCGTACACAGCGGAAGATTTTATTTAAAGATTAATAATTCGTCTTGTAAAAATACGAATAAACGTTTTCCAAAATATTTTCTGAAAACATTTCTAAAAACGTTCACGTGAGATACTGCAAAAGCGTAAATTTAAAACAGATATCTATTAATTAATCCCATTAGCCAGTATTAGTGGCCATTGACTAACCGGACCTGACAAAAAGTGTCATTCCTGCCAGAGTCTCACGGACAACATAACGACTGCTTAACGGATAACTGGGAGATAAGAATCTCACGCACAATTATACCTGATAGATAAAGTTATATAACCGACAGCTTGCAAGTCCCACACGGAATGCAATCCCCTGAATGGGTCAGTACATACATAATGGCTCGCGTAATGGTCACAGCTTTTATTTATTACGCTTTTTACGGTTTTAAATGCTCGCGTAATAAACGAAAAAAGTTTACTCTTTTTTTTATAAATGAATTGTTGTGATTGTAAGTGTGCTTAATATTATAATTAATGTTAACAATACCTATGTACAATGGGCTGTTACACTGGTGCTAGATTCTATCATCTATGTTTTGTCTACCAATTGTATCTAGGGAGTCTCCAGAAACTGGTGTAGATATGTCTTCTTCTTCTTCTTTAACTTTTTCTAGTTCAACTAGTTGTTTGATCTTTTTTTATGCATTTAATATTTTTTTCTATTTTTCTCTTTAGTGTTTCTAATGTAGCTTCTTCTTAGGTTTTTGGCAAAGCCAAGCCTTCAAAGGATTTGTCTTTCCATCTACAGGCACTGTTTGAGCCTGTAGAGGTATAGAACTTTCTTCTATGAAAGCTTCTTGATTGCCCAGAAGGAAGCAATTACCTATCTCACTCGTTTTGTGGCCAGCAAACCATAAGATTTTTGCTGAAATGAATTCACTTTTTGTTGTAATATAAATATCTGTTTGAGAAGTCTCTCTCTTTCTTCATTAAGATTTTTGACTGTTTTAGCTAGTATCTCACAGTGGTCACAAAATAAGACTTTTGACTTACTACTGGAAGCTTTAAGATAGGGTAATGGTTCAGAAAAATTTCTAAGAGAAAGGATGAATATAGAAATTGGGACTGATGAAAGATCTAGCAGCAGAATAAGCTTCTTCTATTGTATGAAAACCTTTATATTTTGGATTTTTGAAATTTCTAATTGATTCTACAACATATGTCCAAGAATTTAAGACACCAGGGGAATTTCCTTCAAATACAATATAAAAACGAAATTTGTCTTGGCTTTGATTGAAAGTATGACCTAAGGCATTCATGGCTGCAATAAAATATATCTTATCTTTTCGATTTTATGTTGTATTTAGAGGAAATTCCCCTGTTGTCTTCAATTCTTGGACAGATGTTGTAGAATCAATTAGAAATTTCAAAAATCCAAAATATAAAGGTTTTCATACAATAAAATAAGCTTATTCAGCTGCTAGATCTTTCATCGGTCCTAATTTCTATATTCATCCTTCTCTTAGAAATTTTTCTAAACCATTATCCTATCTTAAAGCTTCCAGTAGTCAATCAAAAGTCTTATTTTGTGACCACTGTGAGATGATGGCCCAAACAGTCATAAATCTTAAAGAAGAAAGAGAGAGACTTCTCAAACAGATATTTATATTGCAACAAGAAGTGAATTCATTTCAGAAAAAATCTTGTGGTTTCCCGGCCACAAAAACGGGTGAGATAGGTAATTGCTCCCTTCTGAGCAATCAAGAAGCTAGCATAGAAGCAGGTTCTATGCCTTTGCAGGCTCAAACGGTGCCTGTAGATGAAAAGACAAATTTGTTGAAGATTGTGGCTTTGCCAAAAAGCAAAGAAGAAGCTACATTAGAAACACCAAAGAGAAAAATAGAAGAAATATTAAATGCACAAAAAGAGATCAGACAGCTGGTTGAACCAGAAAAGGTTAAAGAAGAAGAAGACATATCTACACCGATTTTTGGATACAATTGTTGGACAAGTGGCTTCAATACTCAAAAGGGGAGGAGGTGAATTGAGTTTTATAAAATCTTTTCGTAAAGT